TGTGATTATAATTGTGGCTGCTGAGTAAGCAGAGGCATTTGCATGATACCATGATGGAAGGATGCTGAGGCTTCCCATAGAATTGTAGAATGTTAACATGGCCTTGTGAATGGTGTTTCTTGAAGTTGTACAATGCAGTTTGCCTGTTCATAACCCATTGCCATCTAGTTGATTCTGATTCATAGCAACCCTGTAGGCAGCAGAGAACTGCTCATTCCCTGGGGCTTTGAATCTTAGTGGGAGTAGACTGTCTTTCTCCTGAGACACAGCTGGATGATTCCAACAGCCAGTCTGTATGAACCTCAGCGTGCCATCAGGGCCGGAAGAATGCAACCTTTCCCTTAATACTACAGATGAAGGAATGAAAGGCCTGAGAGATTATGTGATGGGTGTACGATTGTCCGACCAGCTAGTGGCAAATCTTTAAAGTCCTACAAATTGAGGGTGATTTTCTCTACGTGTACTTATGACATCATTCAGCGAAAGGACAGAGGCTTTAGGAGGAAGTTTTGAACTATCAAAAGAAAACATTTCTTGAGTTGAATCCTACACCTTTACTCCACTGACTTTTTGTTAAAATTAAAGGAAACTTTTGAATATGCAAAAGGAGCAACAGGATAAGCATTGGACTTCTAATCTCCAAGTTGGTGGTTCAAACCCAGTAGCTGTGGCACAGGAGAAACATGACACTGTGTACTCCCATGAACAGTTACAGTGTCGGAAACCTTAGTAGGGCCATATGAATTTGGACTGACTTGAGAGTGGTGGGGTTGGTTTGGGGTTTTTTTTTTAGTATGAAAAACTCTCAATTTAAAACTGACTAGATTTACTGTTATGAAAAGTATTCTGAGCAGCCATTAACAGAAGGAATGTGAAATATGGTGCCTTTTTTGACTAGATGCTGGTAGTTATATTTTTAAAAATATTGACAACAATGATTTGAAAAGTATTGCTAGGCAGGTTTAAAGTTTGAATATACATAATCAAAGTTGGCTTGTTTGCTGACTTAAATGTCCACTTAATGATCTTCTCTGATAAATTTTAATACTTTCTCCCAGACATCTGATAGGTAATATATATAGTCCTGGTGTTGTGCCATAGGGTAAGCTTTGGACTGCTAATCACAAGGTCAGCAGTTCAAACCCATCAGCTGCTTCTTGGAAATACTATTCAGGATCGCTATAAGAATTGATGTTTTTGAATTATGGTGTTGGAGGAGAATATTGAAAGTGCCATGGGCTGCCACAAGAACAAACAACTCAATGGCACTTAACAACAACGAGTCAGAACCAACACAACAGCAATTAACAACAAAAATATGTAGATACAGTACATTTAAAGATTCACAAAAAACTAGATACAATGAAGTTGGAAAAGTTAACACTACAATCCATTTTTAGTTCATATATGTTTGACTTGTTGTTGTTGTCAGGTGGCATCGAGTCAGAACTGACTCATAGCGACCCCATGCACAGCAGAATGAAACAATGTCTGATCCTGGGCCAACCTCACTACCGCTGCCACACTTACGTCCGTCAATGATGCCACCTGGCCAATCCATCTCGTTAGGGGTCTTCCTCTTTTTCTGTGACCCTCCACCTTACCCAGCATGACATCCTTCTCCAGCGACTGTTTCCTCCAGACAATATGTCCAAAGTAGGAGAGACGAAGCTTAGCCATCCTGGCCTCCAAGGAGCACTCTGGCTGCATTTCTTCCAAAACAGATCTGTTGGTTCTTTTGGCAGTCCATGGCACTTTCAGTATTCTCCTCCAACACCACAACTCAAAGGCATCAATTCTTCTACAATCTTCCTTATTCACTGTCCAGCTTTCACATCCATATGAGGCTATTGAAAACACAATGGCCTGGGTCAGGCGCACTGGGTCTCTGCTCTTCAACACTTTAAAAAGTTCCTGTGCAGCAGATTTGCCCAGTGCAATACGTCGTCTGATTTCTTGACTGCTGCTTCCGCGAGTCTTGATAGTTGATCCAAGAAGAATGAAGTCCTTGACAACTTCAATCTTTTCTCCATTGATAAGAATGTTGTTTATTGGTCCAGTGGTGAGGATTTTTGTTTTCTTGACATTGAGATGTAATCCAATATCGAAGGCTGTGCTCTTTGATCTTCATAAGTAAATGTTTCAAGTCCTCTTCACTTTCAGTAAGCAAGGCTGTATCATCTGCATATCGCAGGTTGTTAATGAGTCTTCCTCCAATCCTGATGCCACGTTTTTCTTCATAGAACCCAGCTTCTCCTATTATTTGCTCAGCATACAGGTTGAATAAGTATGGTGAAAGAATGCAACCTTGTCTCACACCTTTCCCAATTTTAAAACATTCAGTGTTCCCATGTTCTATTCGAACAACTGCTTTTTGGTCTAGGTACATATTTCTTAGAAGTACAATTAAGTGTTCTGGAATACTCATACTTCTCAATGTTGTCCATAGCTTGTCATGATCCACACAATCGAAAGCCTTTGCGTAGTCAATAAAGCACAGGTAAACATCCTTCTGATATTCTCTGCTTTCAGCCAAGATCCATCGGACATCTTTTGAATGATATCTCTCGTTCCACTGCCTCTTCTGAATCCAGCTTGAACCTCTGGAAGTTCTCTGTCAATGTATGATTCCAGACGTTTCTGTATTACCTTTAGCAAAACTTTACTCGCTTGAGATATCAAAGATATTGTCCGATGATTTCCGCATTCTGTTGGGTCACCTCTCTTTGGAATGGGCATAAACATTGATCTCTTCCAATCAGACTATAGAGCTTTATAATCATAATATTGTTGTGTTGTTGTTGAGTGCCGCCATGTTGGTTCTGACTTATAGTGACCCTGTCTTGTATTTCCAAGGAGCAACTGGTGAGTTTGATCTAGCAACCTTGTGGTACAAATCAACCTTTTGGTCCAGTGTTTTCGTCCACAGTGCCACACCAGGACTCCTCATAATTCTAATGGTGTTGGTGGTAATTGCCATGGAGTCGGTTATGACTCATAATTACCCTGTATAGGGTTTCCAAGGCTGTAATTCTTTATGGGAGCAGAAAGCCTATTTTTCTCCTTTGTAACAGCTGGTAGTTTTCCAACTGCTAGCCTTGAGGTTAGCAGCCCGACTTGTAACCATGACGCTGTCAGAGCTTCTTAGTCTATATGTGTTATTGTTGTTGTTAAATGTCTTCAGGTTGGTTCTGACCCATAGTGACCCTGTATAGGGTTTTTGAGGAATGGCTGGTGAGCTTGAACCGTCGACCTTGTGGTTCAAACTGACTTTGCAGTCCAGCGCCACACCAGGACTCCAGTCTATATATAAGAGATTTAAGATGTTACTCATTTTTATTACCTTTTTTTTTTTTTTTTTTTAATTCCGCACTGGTTGGAATGAAAATGTACATTTAAAAATTAAATTAACCTTGTTGAAAATGTGAACCGTTTTGGTCCTCAACCCATCTCCCTTTATAGCTCTTGCCAGTTCTCAGTCATTATTTGTATTTTGCATTTTAAATATGTTTTAGAATGGCAGATGATTTAATTTAATGGTTGAAAAATGCTATGGAACACAGTTCTGTTAAACTCATGGGGTCACCATGAACCAACCTGATGGTCACTGGCTTTATAAGTATGTGTGCATATGCATGTCTGTATCATTTCTGTGTCGATCTACCTGTATCTATATTAAGCTATAATTGTGTTTATTCTAATGTCTCTGACTCTAACCCGGTACTGCAAGATTCATTCTATCCTTCCTCCCATGCATATATGTAACTTTCCATTCCCAAAGTGAGAAACCACCATCTATTATCCATGTGGATTCCTGGGGTGGTGCTATAAGATCAGCACTGGACTGCGAACCACAACGTTGGCAGCTCAAACCCACAAGGGTCACTATGAGGTGGAACCAACTCGATGGCACTTAACAACAGTTATCCATCTACTTAGCTGTTCAACCCCAGTTTACATGTATATTGTTTCAGAATGAACCCATATCCCTGTGAAAAGTAACCTTACCACATAAAATGCAGTAGTTCGGTACAGTTCTATTTGTTTATTTAGTCTTACAGTTTGAAGTTCCATCTTCCAAAGTTATATTAACTCCTTCCTCCCTCATAGTTCTGCTATTGATGCTTGATCAGAAGATTGATTGTGTATATATGTTGTACATATGTAATAAATTGTCTATAAACACATGTAATATACATGAGCGCATGTAACATGACAACATAATATAATTATGTAGTGTAATAGTATAATGCATAATATTTAGTACATATGTAGTATTTTGGTGCTTTGTTGTTTTTTTTTTTCATATTTTATTGCTTTGTTTTAGCCTTAAACTTTAAAAAAATTTTTTATATTTTTCATGTAAGTAGAGCTAGCAAAACAGGTTCCCATTCAACCATTTCTGTACACACTGCTCAGTGACACTGATTTAATAACCTTTGTTCCTATTACTGTACATTGTTGGTTTGTTTCTATAAAAGAGTTAGAGTATAGCAACAACACCGCTCATCTACTGGGGCTCGTGTGGTCAGTGCCCCATCTCCAGTTCCTGGCATCTCAGTGTCATTTTGCTGTTGTTGAAAAAATATGCAGCAACACATGCATGCGTTCGCCAGTGTCCCCACATGCAATTCAGTGGCATGGATGGCATTCTTGGAGTTATACAGCCATCCTTACCCTTCTTTTCTGACGTATTTCTCTCCCATGCATGTAGGTACTTTGGCAGTGTTCAGTAGAATGCTATTCTTTTTTTTTTAAGTTGCTTTGTGAAAATTTGATTTTCTCCACTGTTTGAAATGCCACCCTTATTCTATTTTAAATTCTTATACATAGTAGAGGTTCCTTGTCCTTCTTATATTGTTTCATTTTCTAGTTCAAGTTCTAAACATTATGTGACTTAAAAATTAGTAGTATGTGGTAGATTATTATTTTTGCCTGTTTGCACAAACTTATTCTTTCTTTTAAAATACACTAATACAGTGTCCTTTTCTTTATTTTAGAAACATTTTAGTAGACAAACCAAATGACCAATCATCAAGGTGGTCTTCAGAGAGCAACTATCCTCCCCAGGTAAGATTACATGTAGCCTTTAAATAACACTTAGAACTCCAAAGTCAAATAGCCATTTATCAGTATAAGTGTCTGTCATCTCTTGACATCATTTATCTGCACTCCATTAATAGTTTATTCAGTATTTGAGACTGTGAGTTTAAGTTTTATTTCCTTTTTTTCTACTTTAAATTGGGGGAGAATTCTTATTTCATAGTAGCATGCGTTCTTTTTACTTCAGCCTATAGGAACATATAAAATCTGATTTTTATTTTTATGGATTACTCTTGAGGCAAAAGTAGATTTCTTAGTATCTTTGGAGGAAAAATCTGATGACTAAGACCTGGTTAAGGCACAGTTCCTGCCCTGACCTCATCGAGCAGAGGTGACCTCTGTGACACTCACAGGAAAGTACTTGTGTAAATGCTTAAAGAAATGTGCCCAAATGACTGTCTTGTGCAGAAAAGAAACAGTAAAAATGTTGTGCTTCAAAGAACACAGTGTACTTAGGTGGTATCAGGACCTTCATGTAGTAGTGTCCTAGACGTTCCCAACAGAAGCAAGTAGAAATCCTTTCTGGAGATGATGGCAGTGATCTGTAGACTCCTAGTCATTTGTCCTTCTTATTATTCGAGGAAAACAGGAAGCAATGCTGCAGAAATAACCATTAGCAGAAAAAAATAAAGAGTAAACACCTGCAAAAATTTAACTAAAAAGAAGTAGAAGATATTGGTGTTAAAACACTTGCATATCGTACTTAGAGAAATGAGAGGTATCTGCAAGGAATAACAGACTATAAAAAGTGACCTAGCAGATTTGAAAAAGAACCAACTAGGATTTCTATAAATGAAAAATAATACAAACCCAAATTAATTTGACCAGTTATCCTACTAAGGACAGACAGACAACCTGGATGAAATGTAAGCAAAAATCTTTTTTTTTAAGGTAGTAAAGCATGATGGGGGTTAAGAAGATAGAGGCTATGGGGACTTGGAGGGAAGCAGTTTGAGGCCCCTTTTCGGTTGACTGTCTGTTGATTGCTAAAGAGAGGCTAGGAGGTTGAGAAGCTGAGCAACCCCTCTACGAAACAAGGGGGGCTAAGTGTCCTGGTGTGGTGCTGTGGGTTGACGTGTCAGTCTGCAAAGCCATTTGAACTGCAGGGTTGGCGGTTCAAGCTCACCAGCTACTCCTCGGAAACCCTATGCAGGGTCGCTATGGGTCGGAACCGAATTGATGGCACTTTACAACAACAACAACAGATTGTAAATCAGAGACTGGGGTGTTTGTTGTTGTCAAGTGCCATTGAGTCTATTCTGACCCATAGCGACCCTGTACAGGGTTTTCAAAGAGTAGCTGGTGAGTTTGAACCACTGACCTTAAGGTTCATACTGACCTTGCAGTCCAGTGCTTTATTCAACAGCGCTACACCAGAACTCCAAATTTAAGGTTAGGGGGACTGAAAGTCTTATCTGAGGGGTGAGGGAAAACTACAAATAATCTGATCTTTACAGGGATTGCAGCCCAATTTGATACTATTTAGTCCATGATATTGAATGAAAACAATACAGAATTTTTAGCATTCATATCAGTGTGCCTGAAGCAGATCTATTTTTCTGAAGGTAAGTAACATCTAAGACATTTAGTTACTGTTATTTTTTCTACATTTTGTGTCTCCAAAATTATAGTGTTTCCAGATAAAGGAGTTTTAGAAACAGGTTTTAACGTGGGAGATGAAAATCCTTGTTGAAAAATTTGTCAGAGGACTGAAACTGTTAAAAAGAACCAGCTGAAGTCATGAAAAGGAAATAACTGAGAACCGTAAAACATTACTGAAAGAAATTTTAAAAGATCTAAATAAATGGAGAGACATTTTGTGCTCATGAGATTGAAAGCCTCAACATTGTCAGTATGTCGGTACTAGCTCATACAGTCTGTAAACGCAATACCCATCATAATTTCAACAGCTTTCTTTGTAGAAATGAAAAAGCCTATCCTCAAATTTATGTGGAACAACAAAGAGCCCTGGATAACCAAAGCAGTCTTAAAAAAAAAAAAAAAGAAAGAAAAAGAATGAAGTAGCTGGACTCGGGCTTCCTGATTCCATCATCTTGACGTGGTATAATGATGGACATGGAGACTAATGGAATAGAATTCAGAGTCTAGAAATAAACCCATATTTCTATGGTAGGTTGATTTTCAGCTAAGTCCATTCAGTTGGGAGAGGAGATATTTTAATAAATAGTGCTGGAAAAACAATTTCTACATGCTAAAGAATGAATCTGGATGTATACGTCTCACTGTATACAAGATCGAATCCAAAATGGATTTAAGGACCTACATGTGAGGGAAGACAGCTCTTAGAAGAAAGCATAGGATAATGCCTTGGGACTTAGTTTTTAATAATGGATTCTTAGATGTGTCTGACATTAAAAACATGAGCAGCAATTTTAAACTTTTGTTCATTAAAGGACTTTATCAACAAAATGAAGAGACAGCCTATAGATTGGGAGAAAATTAGAGAAAGAGCCATGTATCTGATAAGGGTTTAATATGCACAGGCTATATAAAGATCTCCTAGAAATAACAAATAATATAAAGACAACTCAGTGGAAAATAGGTAAAGGATTTGAATAGTCATATCTCTAAAGAATATATACAAATGACTAACAAGTCCATGAAAAGATACTGTACGTCCATTTGCTAAGTTTCTGTTAAGTACTGGTGAGTTGCTTCTGACTCAACAACCTTGCATACAGTTTCAAAGAAGTGTCTGGTAGGTTTTAACCCATTGACCTTGCAGTTAGCAGTTCAGTACGTTACCCCTCAGTGCCATACTATAACCGTTGTTGTTAAGTGCCGTTGATGGATTCTGACCCATAGCAACCCTGTATAGGAGCAGCTGGTGAGCTTGAACTGTCGACCTTGCTGTTCAAACGGCTTTGCAGTCTGGTGCATTAACCCACAGCACCACACCAGGACTCACTGTAATCATTAGGAAGATGCAAGTCAGTGAAAGATACCACTTTACCTCAACTAAAAAAAATAGTGATGATAAAAAACTGAAAAAAAAAAAAAAAACTAAAACAGAAAACAACAGGTGTAGATTTTAATAAGAAAATTCAACTTGGTTATTAACAAAATTATATATAAATGGATGCTTTTTATTATATTTGTTGTTGTATTTGTTAAGTGCCATCAAATCAGCCCCAACTCACAGCGACCCTGTATGGAGTTTCCGAGGAACGGCTGGTGAGTTTGAACAGTCTACCTTGAGGTTCAAACCTACCTTAAGGTTGAGTGCTTATCGTACAGTGCCACAGCAGGACTAGGGTTGTAGTATATAGGGTGATGGATGGTACACAACAGATTGCATAATGGTCGTGTCTTAGGCTGGGTTTTCTAGAGAAGCAAAATCAATACAGCTTATATATGCAGAAAGATTTCTCTCCAGAAAATGGTTCATGTAGTTGTAGAGGCTGGCAAAATATTGAATGATGCAGGAACATCAAAAAAAGATGGAAGAAATACAGTTGCTGTACCAAAAAGAATTGACCGGTTTTTAGGAGAATACCGAATGATGAAGAACCAGTGGTACTGAAGGAAGCGGTCTAAGCTGCTCTGAAGGCATTCACAAAGAACAGGGCTCCAGGATTTGATGGAATTCCAATTAAAAGGGTTCATCAAACTAGTGCAGCACTGGATGTACTCAGTCGTCTGTGCCAAGAAACGTGGAAGAAAGCTACCTGGCTAACAGACTGGAAGAGCTCCTGATTTGTGCCCATTCCAAAGAGAGGAGACCCAACAGGATGCAGATATTATTGAACAATATCATTAATATTTCATGCAAGTAAACTTTTGCTGAAGACAATTCAAAAATAGTTGTACTTAGACATTGGCTACTGAAAATGAGAGGGTGATAAAGGCACGAAGTGACTGGCTTACAAATTTTCAAGAGGTGGTATAGTTTAAAAGTGTGCAGTGAAAGAACGAGTCCACATTGAATAGTTTTCGTCTTGTCTAGATGGGCCTGGTGAAAAGAGGTGGGGATAAGATTCTTATGATTCAGTAGTAAGTAATTGTTATAACAAATTGCCACTGTCACAATTGTAAAGGTAGAAGTTTTGTAACAAAAACAGGGGAGTTGTTAACCTTACAATCCAGAAACAGAGGACCCTAGGACCATCAAGGGAGAAGAGCGTAAGCAGAATGTGGGACCTTATCCAGAGAACCAACACCAGAGATGGAGGCAGAGATAAAGACATGGAGAGGGGGAGCAGCTGAGGACTCTAGATTCATGGAATTTGAGGGACTGAGAGCTGGCAGCCAGGAGGCATACTTGCAGAATGTGCCCTTTGGTGGTTTAAATTATTATATATGCCTGAGTGTTTAAAAAAAAAAAAAAAAAAAGCTAAAACGAATAGAGAGAAATACTGTTAACTGATGATACATGCAAGGGATTATAATCATTGTCATGAAACGAATTGTATGATTTGTTGAATGTAAAATTGATGATCTGCCCTGTAAACTTTTAGTTAATTCACAATAAAAACTTAAAAAAAAAAAAAGTTGTAGCCATACAATGCTAGAGAGCTCCTAGAAACCCAAGCTAGATTCAGAAGAGGGTGTGAAATGAGGGATATCACTGCTGATGTCAGATATATCTTTGCTGAAAACCATACCAGAAAGATGTTTTCTTGTGCTTTATTGACTATGCAAAGGCATTTGACTGTGTGGATCATAGTAAACTATGGATAGCATTGTGAAGAATAGGAATTCCAGAACACTTAACTGTGCTTTGTGGAACCTGTACATAAACCAAGAGGTGGTCACTCAAACATAACAAGGGAATACCACATGGTTTAAAATCAGGAAAGATATGTGTGTCAGGGTTTTATCCTTTCACCACACTTATTTTATCTGTGTGCTGAGGAAATAATCAAAGAATTGGATTTTATATAGAACAGCATCAGAACTGGAAGACTCATTCATTTATAATATGCAGATGACACAGCCTTGCTTGCTGAAAGTTGTTGTTGTTGTTGTTAGGTGCCATCGAGTCAGTACTGACTCATAGTGACCTTATGCACAGCAGAACGAAACACTGTCTGATCCTGGGCCAACCTCACTACCATTGCCACGTTTGAGCCTGTTGATGCTGCCACTTGGCCAATCCATCTCGCAGGGGGTCTTCCTCTTTTTCTCCCACCCTCCACCCTACCGAACATGATATCCTTTTCCAGCGACTGTTCCCTCTTGACAATATGTCCAAAGTATGAGAGATGAAGTTTGGCCATCCTGGCCTCCAAGGAGCACTCTGGCTGCACTTCTTCCAATGCAGATCTGTTGATTCATTTGGCAGCCCATGGCACTTTGAATATTCTCCTCCAGCACCATAACTCAAAAGCATCAATTCTTCTACAGTCTTCCTTATTCACTGTCCAGCTTTTGCATGCATATGAGGTTATTGAAAATACCATGGCTTGGGTCAGGCACACCTTAGTCTTCAAGCTGTCATCTTTGCGTTTCAACACTTTAAAAAGGTCTTGTGCAGAAGATTTGCCTAATGCAATACGTCGTTAGGTTTCTTGACAGCTGCTTCCATGAGTGTTGATAGTTGATCCAAGAAGAATGAAGTCCTTGACAACCTCAATCTTTTCTCCATTGATAAGAATGTTGTTTATTGGTCCAGTTCCGAGGATTTTGTTTTCTTTACATTGAGATGTAATCCATACTGAAGGCTGTACTCTTCGATCTTCATCAGTAAGTATTTTAAGACTTTTCTTCACTTTCAGCAAGCAAGGCTGTATCATCTGCATATCGCAGGTTGTTAATGAGTCTTCCTCCATTCGTGATGCATGCCATGTTTTTCTTCATATAACCCAGCTTCTCAGATAATTTGCTCAGCATACAGGTTGAATAAGTATGGTAAAAGAATGCAACCACGTCTCACACCTTTCCTAATTTTAAACCATTCTGTGTTCCCATGTTCTGTTTGAACAACTGCCTCTTGGTCCAGTTACAGTTTCCTCATGAGCACAATTAAGTGTTCCAGAATACTCATACTTCGCAATATCGCCCATAGCTTGTCAAGGCTTGTGAGTTGATATGATTCTGAAAACTATGCCAACAGTATTTTAAATACCAGCAGGGTCACCCATGGTGGACAGGTTTCAGATGAGCTTCCAGACGAAGACAGATTAGGAAGAAGGAGTGGTGAACTACTTCTGAATATTTAATCATTGAAAACCTTATGAATAGCAGAAAAACACTGTCAGATATAGTGCCGGAAAGTGAGCCCCTCAGGTTGGAAGGCACTCAAAATGCGATTGGGGAAGAGCTGCCTCCTCAAAGTAGAGTTAACTGCGATGACGCGACTGGAGTAAAGCCTGTGGGAGTAAAGCCCGTGGGACCTTCATTTGCTGATGGGGCACAACTCAAAATGAAGAGCAACAGCTGTAAACATCTATTGAAAATTGGAACATGGAATGTAAGAAGTGTGAATCTGGGATAATTGGAAATTGTCAACAATGAAATGGAACGCATAAACATCAATATCTTAGGCATTAGTGAGCTGGAATGGACTGGTGTTGGCCATTTTGAGTCTGACAACCACATGGTTTACTATGCCAGGAATGACAAATTGAAGAGGAGTAGTGTTACATTCATTGTCAAAAAGAACATAGCCAGATCAGTCATGAGGTACAATCTGTTTGTGATAATTTCCATGCGCTTATAGGGAAGACCAGTTGCTTAAAGTGAAGAAGACTTAAAGCACTTTCTGCTAAAGATCAAAGTCTTCAGTATGGATTACACCTCAAGATAAAGAAAACAAAAATCCTCACAACTAGACCAGTAAACAACGTTATAATAAACAGAGAAAATATTTAACTTGTCAAGGATTTCATTTTACTTGTACCCACAATCAGTACCAATGGAGGTAACAGTCAGGAATTAAAAGGATGTATTGCATTGGGCAAATCTGCTGCAAAGGAATGCTTCTAGTGTTAAAGAGCAGAGATGTTACTTTGAGAATTAAGTTGTACCTGACCTAAGGTATAATGTTTTCAATTGCGTGTGAAAGCTGGAAAGTGAATGTGAAAGACCAAAGAAGAATTGATAGCTTTGAATGATTGTATTGGTAAAGAATACTATGGCCTGCCCAAAGCATGAACAGATATGTATAGGAATGAGTACTATCAGAAGGCTCTTTGGAAGCGACAGCAGTGAGATTTCATCACTAGTGCTTTGGACATATTGTCAGGAGAGGTCAGTTCCTGGAGACTGACCTCATGCTTGGTAAAGTAGAGGTTTATAGGAAAAAAAGAAAACTTTCAGTGAGCTGGATTAGCACAGTGGTTACAACAATGGACTCAAACCTAGTAGGAAAGATTGTGAGGCTGCCTCAGGATAGGTCTGTGGGTCATGGCTGTAGTACACAGGGTCACTAGGAGTCAGAACTCACTGCACATCACCTAACAACATTGTATCCAGTGTGTGATAGGAAAAGGTGTAAGGTACATTAGAAAGATCTACACTAGGTTTGCGATTTTTAATTTGTTAAATTGGAAGAGGTCATTAGGAAATCCCTAAACTATCTGAGCTCTAAAATCTTATTGATATCTAATACTGATTTTTCTGTTGAAATGTAGTCCGTGAGAACATGGAATTGTTACTTTTGCATCCAAATCTTGTTAAGTTTGGTTATTCCTATTCTGATTCGTCTTTTATTGCGTATTGTTCCTTGATTGGAAGTTATTACTCTAGCTTTTATCTTTTCTTTTTCACTGTATTTAGGATGATGTATGAGAAAGCTTCAAACTGTTCTTGTAAAAATGGAATTAAAGATATTGGAATTTTTCCAAAAACAGTCTGAAGCCCCATTGTGTATTCCCTACGGGAACCTGCTGAGATAAAAAGTTGGAGCTTACTCACAAGGCTGTTGTTTACTATTTTTTAACATTAAACACAGATATAGGCATACAAACCTGCCTTGCAGGAAGGCCATACCAGACCTTATGCAATCTGGTGTTAACTTTCAAACATTTTTAGCTTTACAGCCTTTTATGTCTGTAGTTTTAAAGAAGATAACACAATTTGGTTTTGTTTTTTAGTACTTGATTCTGAAGCTTGAAAGGCCTGCAATAGTCCAGAATATCACTTTTGGAAAATATGAGAAAACGCACGTCTGCAATTTGAAGAAATTTAAAGTCTTTGGGGGAATGAATGAAGAAAATATGACAGAACTATTGTCTAGGTGAGTTATGCTTATCAGGCACTTGTAGTCTCCTTGCACTTAACTACATTGTTTTCTTCTGGCTTTAAACTGTAACTTTAGAATTTCCTTATAGTATGCGTCTTCTGGTGATAAATTCTTTCAGCTTTTAAACTCTGGAAAGGTCTTTATTTCACCTTCTTGTTAATGTATTACCAAGTAATAGAGAATCAAATTGTTTGTTTTTCTACTTTCTTAGTCTTATTTTTGGACTGTTATTTTGGACAGAAATACTTTCAGCTTCAAACAAAATATGTATTATTAAAAAAATAGGCTCTATCATCCAGTATCAATTCTGATAAAAGCATTCAGCAGAGTAGGAATAGAAGGGAAATTTCTCAGCATACTTAAGAGCACATACACAAATCCATTAGCCAACAATACTCTCAATGAAAAGAAACTGAAAGCATTGCTTTGCGAACAGGAACCAGACATGGATGCCCCTCCTCACCATTCCTATTTGATATTGTGTTGGAAGCCTTAGCCAGAGCTGTAAGGCAACAAAGGGAAATTAGAGGCATCCAGATTGACAAAGAAGAAGTAAAACACATCCTATTTGCAGATGATACGATCCTACATATAAAAAATCCTAAATACTCAGCAAGAAAATTATTAAAGCTCATTCAAAGATTCAGCAAAGTGGCAGGGTACAAGATCAGTATCTAAAAATCAGTTGGATTCCTCTATACTAATAAAGACCACTCTGAAAAGGAAATTACAAAAAACAACACCATGGACAATAACCACCCCAAAGACGAAATACTGAGGAATAAATCTTAACCAGAGAAAGAAAAGATCTGTACAAAGAAAACTACAAACTACTACTATAAGAAACCAAAAGAGATTTACAAAATTGGAAGACTATACCATGCTTCTGGATAGAAAGACTTAACATTGTGAAACTGCAGTACTACCCAAAGCAATCTATAGATATAGCACAATCCCAATCCAGTATTCCAACGTCATTCTTTAAAGAAATGGAAATACTGGTTACAGACTCTATATCAAGGGAAGAGACCTTTGATAAGCAAAATTACTGCTTTAGAAAAAACAGAGTTGGAGGCCTCTCACTTCCTGATCTGAAAATTTTACTGCACAACCACAGTGGTCAAACAGCTTGGTATTGGAACATTAAAAGGTACATAGATCAATGGAACAGATTGTGAACCGAGAAGTAAATCCATCGATATACAGGTAACTGTTCTTTGATAAAGGGCCAAAACACGTTACTTAAATGGGGAAAAGATAGTCTCTTCAACAAATGATGCTGGTAAAACTGGAAATCCATTTGCTGGAAAATGAAACAAGACCCACATCTCACACCATGTATCAAAGTCAACATGGATTGAACAGCTAAATGTAAAACCTAGAACTATGAGTATCATCAGTGAAAATATAACAACAGATACAGGGGCTTTAAGTTTGTTTTTTTAGCAGTCCATGGTACTTTAAATATTTTTCTCCAACTCTGTAAGTCAGAAGCATCAATTCTTCTACTGTCTTCTTTATTCATCATCCAACTTTCAGATGCATATGAGGAAATGGAAAATACCATGGCTTGGGTCAGCACACCTTAGTCCTCAAACTTATCATTTGCCATTATTGTTGATGGAACCGTCAAGTCGGTTCCAACTCTAGTGAACCTACATTGGGTTTCTGAGGAATCACTGGTGAGTTTGAACTGCTAATCTTGCAGTTCAAACCTCTTGCAGTCCATTGCTTATCCTATAGTGCCATACCAGGACTTGACTAGCCATTGTTGTTGTTAAGTGCCTTCGAGTCAGTTCTGAGCCATAGCTACTCCGTGTAGGGATTCCTAGGAGCAGCTGGTAAACTTGAGCTGCCCACCTCACAGTTCAGACTGACTTTGCAGTCTGGCACATTAACCCACATAGAGAAATGCAAATCAAAACAACAATGAGATACCAGTTCACAGCAGCATTAGTAGCGTTAGTGTTCTATCCACTTACATAAGGGCAGTGGGTCCTGTCATGCATTCCCATACTCTGTACTTTTTACTGAACGTTTTGTTATATTTTTTGAAGTAAGAAATTCACTTCTAATTGATGTACAAATAAAAACTGCGCAGAGCAAACCTGTAGCCATTTCTGCTCCTGTTAGAATTGTACCTTTGACAGCTCAAGAAATTGGGTTAGGTGGTTATTTTCATTACTTACCTACAGCTATGTAGACTCAGTATTTATGATTAGTTAATATATAAAGAAAGGAGCTCTGGTAGCATAGTGGTTATGAATCGGGCTTCTAACCTCAGGGTCAGCAGTTTGAAACTACCAGCTGTTCCAAGGGAGAAAGATGAGGCGTTCTGCTCCTGTAAAGACTTACAGCCTCGGAAACCCTGTACAGGGTCGCTATGAGTCGGGACCGACTCCACGGGACATAACAACAACAAATATGAGAATCCAGTTATAATACCGTTGAGTTGAATGTATAATTTGTAACCTATGTTTTAGTTATTCCTTTATATTGTATCATTTATTTTGAACATTGGTTTAAACTTAAAATCTGAATATGACAATCTATATTTTATTGTGTTTACTATAATATAGAGAAAGCTTTGTTAGCTCTTTTTATTATTATTATTTAATTTTTTGTCCTACAGTGGCTTAAAGAATGATTATAACAAAGAAACATTCACCTTGAAGCATAAAATCGATGAACAGATGTTCCCTTGTCGATTCATTAAAATAGGTAAGGAGTCTTAATTCAGTAGTCAGCAGACTATCGTTTGTGGATCAGATCCTGAAAGCTACCTGTTTTGTTTTGTTTCTTAATAGTGAAATAGATACAAGAACACACAAAAACGTTTCATCCATTTCTACATGGTATGCTTCAGAGACATTGGTCACATTTTTCAAGTTGTGCAAACTTTTTACATTTTGTTTCGCAAATTATTCCACCACCAATAACATACATACACTGTTGTTGCCCCAACTCACAGTAACCCTGTGTAGGGTTTCCAGGGAGCAGCTGTTAGCAGTTAGCAGACCATTGCTTATCTTACAGTGCCACACCAGGACCCTCCTATCCCTGGCATCACTAGTTTCCTTTTTTCATATTAGTGATACTTTGCAGTGTTTGACCTTTTGTGACTGACTGACTTTGCTCAGCATAATGGCCTCTAGAGTCACTCAAGTGTGGCTCGTATCAGGACCACTCCAAATGGGCCTCACTGCTGTTGACTCATTTCTAGTCAGGGACTCCTCTATAAGCTGGCCATCTTTATAGGAGCAGAATCCAGTGTGTGTATAGATCACATTTTCTTATTCATTCAGCAGTTGATGAGCATTTGGGTGGTTTTCAACTTTGACTATTGTGAATAATGCTGCATTGAACGTTGGTCTGTTCTTAAAACTGCTTTCAGATCTTTTGCATATGTATTTAGAAGTGGAATTGCTGGGTCATACGGTAGTTCTAGAAATCCAGGTGTTGCCCTGTAGGATAAGTAGTATACTTCTAGCCACAAGGTTGGTGGTTTAAATCCACCTTAGAAACCAAACACAGGGTCTCTGGGTTAGAACTGACTCGGTAGCATTTAGCAACAATGTGTTTATAAAACACCTTGTTATTGGGACACAGCCACACCTAGCTGTTTGTATCTGTTTAGTAGGGTTGAGTTGTTGTAGCAGAGGTTACATGGCCCACAAGGAACCCTTGTGGTATAGTGAGTTACCTGTTAGGCTGATAACTGCAAAATCAGCAGTTTGACTCCTCCCAGGAGAAAGATGAGGCTTTCTGCTCTTGTTAAGATTTACAGCTTCAGGGTTGCTGTGAGCATCAGTGTGTCCTAGTTCTCTGGTGCTGCTGTAACAGAAATGCAGCAAGTGTAAGGCTTTAACAAGCAGACGTTTATTCTCCCACAGTTCAAGTGGCTAGTCAGGGTGCCAACTCTAGGGGAAGAATTTTTCTGTTCACTCACAGTTTAGGAACAAGGTCCTGTCTCAGCATCTGTGAGCTGGCATTCTTTGGAGATCTCTGTGTTTCTTGTCATCAGTGTTCCCCTGGATCTAGGAGCTTCACAGTGCAGAGACCCCAGGTCCAAAGGACACATCCCACTCCTGGCTCTTTTTTTGAGGGTACTAGGTCCTCTGATCTCTACTTCTGTCTCTTAAAAGTTAAAAGGTGTTGCAGGCCACACCCCAGGAAAACTCCTCTTATAACTGATTGGCTATCACATCAGATGACATCATTGGGAATTGTTACAGAACTTCAGAGTCAGAACATCATGGTCCTGCCAAGTTGACAAATATTTTGGGGTACACAACTTAATCCATGACATTATTTGATTGCCCTGGTTGCTTTATAGATGCTTTATCATTTCTAAAGCTGGAACATTCTAAAATCAAATACTGATGAATTCCTTTAGGAAATATATTTCAAACTTAATTGATTGTGACTCAGAGTAACAAGCATTTTATGTTACAATACAGCATGTACACCACACACACACAACTGTAACAACAGTTTCATAAAACAATACATACCTTAACTGCGTGGAACACATTACTGTCATTTTGTTTTCTTCTCTGTTTCACTTGTCAGTTACATTTTTGTCAAACCCTTTAAATTGATCTTATGACCTTTTAATATGTTAGAAATCACTATTTGAAGAACATTATCTGCAAGCATGTATTAAGTTAGCCAGAGTTTCAGCTTAGGGAATTCTTCACAATGCCGCCTCAAAATTAACTTTTTGGGCATTACTTTGTTTTACTTCAGAATTTATTAGTTAGAAAGTGAAAATGTTGATTTCCCACTTTCTATATTAGAAATGTAACTATATTACATATTTTTGAAAATATTATGTTAAAATCAAAATGATAGTGAATTAGATTCTTCAAAGAATAATAATCAAAGCTAAAATCACGTATTTGGATCTGGAAGAACAGTTTTTCTTTTGGAACAGGCGGTGTTGCTGGTAGTCATTGTTTTTTCCCATCTACCATGAATTCGTCTGTTCATTTCAATGATGCAAATAGTTCTGCTGGGCAAAAGAAATACCTAAAGTCTTAGTAAAGACGACTTATAGAGAAAAACTTATTTTTTCAATAGCTGGACTGTCCTTTACTTTATCTTATAACCATAAAGTGTGTTGTTAAAATAAATAATTGTAACTAAAAACCTGTGTCCTAGTTTCTTGTGAGATTTTGTGAATAAGCAAATGTTTTGATAAATTCAACTCTTGGGTATACTTTTGTACTAGTGAGTAAATCTGTTCCCAGTGTTTAGACCACTCAATTCCTGAAGACTTTTGCATAATTTAACAACTCCATGATGTTGTATTTTATCTATGTAAACAGTAAAAATATCTTACATTGTCATATCGTAAATTTAGTTTCATCTCTAAAGTTACTTGTTTCCTTTGAAGGAAAAAATCTAGTTTTAATGCTTCCATGGTTCTTGTTTCACTAGTAATATTCATTGGAAGGCGTTCTGGTGTGGCACTGTAAGGTAGCATTAGGTGCTAACTGAGAGGTCAGTGGTTCAAACTCACTGGTAGCTTCTTGGAAACCCTGCTTAGAGTTGCTATGAATCTGAACTGACTCAGTGGCACTTAACAACAACAATGTTTATTGGAAGATGTCTGAAAAAAAATCTGTTTAGGAAGTTATATAGTTTGTTTCTTTGAAGTTAAAGAACATTGATCTTTTATGAATCAGTTAGATGTTTATTGTCCTGAAAACAGGCAGTTAGGCGTCATTCCTGCCCTTCCCAAGTTTTTATTTTAATATATCAGCCTCTTAATTGTTATTTTTAAGCACCATTGCGTCGGTTTCGAGTCATAGCAACCCTGTATATGGTTTCCAAGGAACAGCTGGTGGGTTTGAACCACTGACCTTAGAGTGAATGGTTAAGTGCTTATCCTACAGTGCTGTGTACTCCTGGGTTAATTTTATAGTATGTAGGCAGACTCCTGGTGTGGCACTGTAGGATAAGCACTGGACTGCTAACCACAAGGTTGGTTGTTCAAACCCACCAGTTGCTCCTTGGAAACCTTATATAGGGTTGCTATGAGTTAGAATTGACTCGGCGGCACTTAATAATAACAAAACTGAAGGCTAATTGTAGCTTTCCAAAGAATTGTAAATACATTGTAATCCTTTTGATATTAAGGATACTTCATATTTGGATAACTACATATTTCTCAGCTTTTTTGTTAATAGATGTTAATATTGGGCTGCAGTATATTTGCTTTCCAACGCTTTTTCAACCCTTTTTTTGAAAATAATATAAAGAAAATATGAAAGTAAATTCTGTATATTGCTAATGCTGCTTTGCTTTTAAATTCGTATTTTTAGTTTGTCAGCATAATATTCTTAAAGGAATCATTCCAACAAAGAACTGGAGTCTCTTGGTTTCTGTCATGTCCAGCTCATTTTGGAAGTGAGTTAGCATAGATTCTTGTTTATGTGTTTCAAATACATTGTTAGAATTCTTTAAAAAAAATACTATTTGTGAACACTGCATATTTATATTCTGCAGTGCTGTGTTTGAAAGATGTTGTGGTGAAAAACAGTGTTACTCTCACACAACACAGTTTATAAATCCAGTCAACCTTCAGTTATTTATAGTAGCAGAGGGGGGAGTAGAAGATAATCTCCAAATCCTTGATTGGCATCTAAACATAATAATTTTTTAAGTAGATGTAGTCTATTAATTCAGCCTCGGAAACCCTGTACAGGGTCGCTATGGGTCGGAACCGACTGGACGGCACGTAACAACAACAGTCTATTTAATTAGATTTTACTTAAACAAGTTTGATCACAAATGGTTAACAAGGAGCAGAAACCCACAGTTTTACTTAGTAGCAGAGGTTAGGTTTGTTGTTGTTGTTGTCTCTGTTTGTTTTTAAATGATGTTTTCTGTGTTTTGGGTGAAAGTTTTCACAGCAAATCAGATTCCCATTTAACATAAGCTTTGGACTGCTAACCCCAAAGTCAGTGGTTTAAACCTACCAGCTGCTCCTTGGAAACCCTATGCTTGGTTGCTGTGAGTCAGAACCTACTCAATAGCACTTAACAACAACACAGAAATTGCTCAGAAACATTGGTTTCATTTTTTACAATGTGTTAACATTCTCATTCATTCTCTTCTAGGTGTTTCACTTCTTGTAATCCTGTCCCCTTTCATCTTTGTTTTAGAGTAATTGTTGACCATGTGGTTTCACATAGATGATTTTAAAAGGTGTGGAATATTCACTAGTACTATACCTCTGGTAGCGTAGTGGTTACGAATCGGGCTGCAAACCTTAAGGTCAGCGGTTCGAAACTACCAGCTGCTCCGCGGGAGAAAGATGAGGCTTTCTACTCCCGTAAAGATTTACACCCTCGGAAACCCTATACAGGGTCGCTATGGGTCAGAACCGACTCGATGGCACATAACAACAACATACCTTATTTTATGAGCCAGTGTAATATATTATTTAGCAAAAAGGTGATATCAGGAGGTAGTTTTGGTTAAAGGTCTATGGAGTATCTCAAGGTGATAGTCTCGGAGCCCTGTAGTCTCAAGTGGTACAGCATAGCTGGACTTTAAAAAGTTCTGTCAGGGTTCAGTTACTGTTGCCCTGATCAGAATGGTGGCAGTGATATCCAGGCAACAGATATTTCTGGTGTAAAGATAGGAGAGGCCATATTTTATGTAGGCTAGTAACCCTGTAGACTAGTGTCTACTCCGAGGCTTCTTTCTCTTTTGCTCTGGACTAGAAGAGACCTATCATTGTTTCTTGAGTCCTGGTGTGGTGCTGTGGCTTAATGCACTGAATTGCAATGTTGGTTTGAACTGTAAGGTCGGCAGTTCAAGCTCACCAGCCGCTCCTCCGAAACGCTATACAGGGTCGCTATGTGTTGGAATCGACTCAGCAGCACTTAACAGCAACATCATTATTTTTTAGATGGCCATTCACAAGCTTTTAAGACTCCAAGTGCAACCCAGGCAAACTAGGATGTAGAGTGTAAACTGTGTGAACTATATACAGTATGTCATTTGACTGAGTTCCAGTTGTCTAACCTAGCCCACGAGTTTTGGTTATGTCTAAGAACTAGCCATAGCTGTGTCCCCTAAGTGCTTTGTTATATACATGAACATATAATCATATACAAACACTTGCATACACAGAGAACAACATGTATTTATGTACACACATATGCATACCTATACATGTATATATGCAAACATATGTACACATGTGACCATACATATATTTTGTAGTTGTTGCAAAATTATATAAGGGTTATGTTTTAAGGTAAATATGTTTTGTAATTTTTATACTATTTTAAAAATCCTCATTTGCATGCTTTCTTGCTTGTAGATTTTTAGATACTATGAGTCCTGGTGTGGCACTGTGGGATAATACACTGGACCACGAGGTCGGTTTGAACTGCAAGGTCAGCGGTTCAGATTTACCAGCCGCTCCTCAGAAACCCTATACAGGGTCTCTATGAGTCTATGAGTTGGAATTGACTCAGCGACATTTAACAACATGAAGAATATACAAATTTGAGTCCTATTATTTTACCAGTCGTTATCTAGAATTTACCTTCAGGATAATATAGCAGTTCCATTATCTTTTTATAGTTTCATGAATACTTTCTCCTTTATCAAGTGGCATCTCATTTGTACCTTATACTGACAGATAAAACTGTTCTCTTTTTAGTAGAGGAAACTGACGATAGGCATTAAATGACTTGTTCCAGACTGCATAGCTAGTAAGTGATAATCAGGGACATTTGTTGTTGTGAGGTGCCATTCAGTCCTCATTGACTCAGGGACCCGATTCACAACATAGTGAAACACTATGTCATCCTCACAGTTATGTTTGGATCCATTGTTGCTGCCATCTTGTAAATCCATCTTGTTAGAGGTCTTTCTCTTTTTTAATGACCCTCCACTTTACTAAGCATAATGTCCTTTTCAAAGGAATGGTCCCTCTTGATAACGTGTCAGAAGTACATGAGACAAAGTATTACTATACTTCTTTCAAGACAGATTTGTTTATTCTTCTGGCAGTTCATGGTACTTTCAATGTTCTTTGCCAACCCCATAATTTAAATGTATCAATTCTTCTCTGGTCTTCCTTACTTGGTGTCTATTTTGTATATGCATAAAGTGGACAATGAATAAGGCTTGTGTCAGGCGCACCTTAGTCTCAAGGGGACATCTTTGCTCTTTTAACACTTTAAAGAGATCTTTTACAGCAGATTAGCCCAATGCAATATGTTTAATTTCTTGACTACAGCTTCAATGAGCATCGATTGTGGTTCCAAGTAAAATGAAATCTTGGATAACTTCAGTCTTTTCTCCACTTGTCATGATATTGCTTATTGTTCTAGTTGTCAAAACTTTCATTTTCTTTACATTTGAACTGTAATCCATAGTAAAGGCTGTGGTCTTTGGTCTTCATCAGTAAGTGCTTTAAGTCTTCATTTTCAGCAAGCAAGGTCTGTCATCTGCATATCTCAGGCTATTAATGACCCTTCCTCCAATCCTGATGCCACATTCTTCTTCATATAACCAGTTTCTCGGATTATTTGCTCAGCGTACAGATTGAAATAAGTATGATGAAAAGATAGAATCCTGATGTATAACTTTCCTGATTCTATTACACTTATTCTGTTAGGGATAGCAATTGGTGTATGCATCATACATTTGGATATATATTTATATTCTTTTAAAGTAGTAATAACAATAGGTACTATTTATAAAGCACTTGCTGTTTGCCTAAGCTAAGTATTGACGAAGATATTACCTTGTTAAGTTCCCTTAGCATTCTGTGAGATAGGCTTTATTATACTCACTTCACAGAGGACGTACCCCAGATCATGCAGGTTGTGTGAAGTAGAGAAGGTATACAGTGGAAGTCTGTCTGTTTCTAAGTTCTTGTGTGATCTGTGGAAGTACAAGTACTGCTTCCTCAGTTACGACTGTAATATTCCTGGGAATAGAGACAACTGTCTTCTACTTCTTCGGTGAATAGAAAGTACGTTTTTATTTTTAGTGTCCACTGGGATAATCAAATGCAGATGGGTTTCCTCACCTATCTTTGTAAGGTGATGAGTTACAGGAATAGATTTCCTGGCATGGAACCATCCTTCCATTCCCGGGACGAACTCTCTTCAGTGACAATGAAAATCTGGTCGGTTTTTTTTTTCCTTTGTAATTTTATTCAGAATTTTGAGTATACCAGTACTCATAGTCAGATTGCCCTTATGTCCTTTTTCTTTTGGTTGTTTTCAGGGTTAAGCCTATGATTGAACTCTCATGGAGCTTAAATTACATAAAATGGGCTTCAAAAAGTTCATGGAGAATAGAATTAAAAAATAATGCAATTTCTCCACAACCTCTTCCAAGTCTCTTGTTTAGTATTTATTGCTTTTATGTAATGTAGGTTTTGTAAAATTTATCTGTTAATCCATAAGCCTTGGCTGTGTTTGGGGGGCCCCATGTGTCACCACTCTGAATTTATTGTGCAGTGTTGCTATGACTGGGGAAATATGCTAATGGTCCGGACATGCTGGAGCTCCAGCATCTACGTCATGTGAGCTGTCTAGAAAGGGCTCAGAGAACGTGTTGAATGAATTATAATAGGCTCACATAGTTTGCTGACATATTATTTGGACTATGTATGTTAATTTTTTCTTCCTTTTTCCCTCTCTCCTCAAAGTTCCACTCTTGTCCTGGGGACCCAGCTTTAACTTTAGCATCTGGTATGTTGAACTTAGTGGCATTGACGATCCTGATGTAGTACAGCCCTGTCTCAACTGGTATAGCAAGGTAGGACTGTGTTTTAAAATCTGGATTGTATGTTTCTAATGCTTATACAGAGAGAGTTTTATCCATCTCATCTTTATTGAGAATAATTAAAGAGACTGACAATACTGTTTGAACAGTGCTCAGAACTCAAGTTGATCCTGCCTTGTAACGACCCTGTAGGACAGGAGAACTGCTCCATCATCAGCTCTCCACGGCTGCACCATCGTGACTGCAGCAGGCAGCCTCATTTGTCTGCACTATGCAGTGGTTGATGGCTTCAAAATTCAAACTTTGGGGTTAATAGTCCAATATTTAGCCCATAGGCTCCACGAGCTAACTAATATTTATTAAGCATTTACAGTCTGCCAGCTCCTAAGCAATCTTTCTACCTCATTTAATTGCTATCCTACCGAGGTAGCTGTTGTTGTTAAGTGCCATCGAATTGGTTCCAACCCATAGCAACCCTATATAGGGTTTCTGAGGACCAGCTGGTGAACTGGAACTACAGTTATTATCCCTGTTTTGCATTTGAGGAATTAGAGCACAGAGAAGTTCAGTATTTTGCTCAAGGTCATACCACTGTAAAGTGCTCAAGCTATTTTGAACTCAGGCCGTCTGGCTCCAGAGTCTGCCATTATATTTTGATGCCTCTTGTATCATAAATTTTATTTTTAGCCTATATTGATGTAAATACTTTAAACAGTTTTTAGTGGAACAGTTTTGGTTCTAAATTGCTTTCATAATGCTTTCCTTTCCTGGGTGTGTGTGTGTTTAGTAAAATGGGAATATTTATTTTTTCGCTATAAAAATGCTGGCTTTAATATAGACATTTTCTATAAATATCATGATCTTGTGTTTATAGGAAGCATAAAAATGATACTTAGCAATTTAATTTACAGTTCAGCTTATATAATAGACACACCCTAAAATACTCGCATTTAAATTGTTGAATAGATTTATGGGTGGTTTTGAAATCTTTATTGGTATGCCTCTTTTTTATTTATAATGTATATTTATTTGACTTTTGTATTGAGGTAAGTTTTTTGTTTGAATGGGCATTCTTCCTGCTCGAGGGGATAAGGAGGCTTAAACCGAATCACTGCATACTGATGTCTTTGCAGGTAGAGTGAGCTGATGGACAAGAGGAGAGTGGGAAGCAGTGTGTAACTCTTTAGACAGAGGGGCTCTGTATGGCGTTCAGTTCTCCTGATCAGCATAATTACAGAACTTTATGCTCCATTTATTTAATTTTGGCATTTGATTACATTTAACTGAAAATAATCATGTGGGACTTAATATTTTCCATGTTACATATTTCTTGTGTTTCTTTTAATACTGTAATTCATTGAAGGTAGAGATGCTGTCTTTAGACTTTCAAGGTCACTTTGCATCTTCTACACATATCAGATACTTAACATCTAAGTTACAATTTCCTAACTTCTACTGTTCCTTCAATGACAGAGAAAAAATAAAAAGATTAAATTCCTCCAGTAGTTGGATACATTCCCCCTCGAGTGTATGATGTTTGTGTATGTATTTGGTGTTGTTAATATGCTCACTCTAGTCTCTTGATATCATGGAAAGTTGCAAGCTTCACTTCGTTTTTCCAACATTACAGAGAGATTATATTTGAAAATGCATTGACCCATTTCATCTTTCAGCTTCTCTGAACTTACTATGAACCTCTAGAATTAGACTATCTTTGCCGTCTTTGGATTTCAGGCTGTATTTTTTAAGCATTGAAATTCAGTTATTTCATATTATGTGTCTGTATACGTGTTGGTGGTGTGCCACCAAGATGTTTTCCATTCATGGTGGGCATGGCAGTGTGCTGTGAAGTCGGTTCTGACTCAGCGACCCTGCATAGTGTTTCCGAGGCTGTAAATTTTTACGGAAGCAGAAAGCCTCACCTTTCTCCCAAGGAACAGCTGGTAGTTTCAAACTGCTGACCCTGAGGTTAGCAGCCCTGTAAAGGGTTTCCTAAGATATATATCTCTATGGGAGCAGAAAGTCTCATCTTTCATCCTCAGAGAGGCTTGTAGATTTGAACTGCTGACCTTGCATTTAGCAGCCCAGCTCATAATCCACTACGCTACCAGGGCTCCTTAGAAAATATAAAATGTGAATGTGACACCTAAAGTGAGCAGATAAAAAGATACTACTTTTTTTATGTGGTGTCAGATGGCTACGCTGCATCTTTCTTTAGAGGCCAGGGTTGGTGGGGATGGTGCATCTTCATTTAGAGGCCAAGTAGTGGTGCTGGTGGCATGTGCCACGTAGTTGGTTTCAACTCCTTGAGACCCTGCATGGGGTTTCCTAGGCTGTACATCTTTATGGAGGCAGAAAGCTTCATCTTTTTGCCCATGGAGAAAAGATTTGAACTGGTGACCTTTTAATTACCAGGCTAACTCATCATCTACTACACTACCAGGGCCTTTTAGAGGCCAAGGGTAAGAAACAATATAGTTAGTTTAGATAGAGAACCATCCTTTGATTACTTGATGAGTTAAAATCCTGGGTAACTGTTGTGCTTAAGGGATAGGTGTTTTGATAAGCTTTTATTAGTAAAAAAAAAAAAAAAAAACCACAGTGAATTATAAATCAGTTTTCTTTAAACTTGTAAATCTTAAAAGTGATTATATTCTATCTTTATTAAAGGTTAATGTTTATAAATAAATCACTCATTGTTTTGTTTTAGAATTTTTTATTGTGAATTGAGTGGTTTACAGAGCATCAATTTTACATTCAACACATCATATACTTCATTTAATTACATTGATTGGAATCCCCTCCATGTGTCTTCAATTAACAATATTTACCTCTAGTCACTTTAATGCTTGCGTTCATTCTTTGTTGTTTTATTATCATGCAGTACTTCTGTGTCATTTATTTTGTTCTTATTGCACAGTGGTATACCTAGAAAATGTGAGATAATTTCCAGACAGTCAAGAACTCAAATGAGATATTACACTAGACAGATCTGCTGCAAGACCTCTTTAAAGTGTTAAAGAGCAAAATTGGCAGCTTGAGGACTAAGGTGCGTCTGACCCAGGCTATGGTATTTTCAATAACCTCATATGCTTGTGAAAGTTAGATAGTGAATAGAGAAGATCGGAGAAGAATCAGTTCATTTGAATTCTGTTGTTGGAGAAGAATACTGAAAGTACCATGGACTGCCTGAAGAACAAATAAATGTCTGTTAAGATAAGTACAGCCAGAATGCTCCTTAGAAGTCAGGATGGCAAGACTGTCTCTTATATTTCGGACATGTTATCAGACAGGAGCAGTCTCAGGAGTAGGACATCATGCTTGGTAAAGTGGAGGGTCATTAACGAAGTGGATTGGCATAGAGGCAGCAGGAACCGGCTCAAACATAACAATTGTGAGGATGACACAGGGTCGCGATAAGTCAGAACCAAACTGGATGGTGTCTAACAACAACAGCAGTTTGTTTTGTTTTGTTTTTTTGAAATCTGTGTATGAGTTTGTGACTTTGGCATTCATCCCATTAGGGAAGAAAGTAGCTAATTAGGCTCCCCACTTTTTGGATTCTTGTTTTTGTTTAATAGTATACAATTTAAATAATCTCTTTCTGAAAATTTTTGGGTCATAAAGCCTATTTGTGAGTTTGAAATAGTTAACACTTGAAATATTTATCATATACTTAATAGCTTATTTCTGAGAACCCAGAAAAAAACCATCTGTTTTGTTGAACAATTTCTGTGCTTTCAGTACCAGCATTGTAAGTGGGTTAGGAGATGCTTTGGAAGTTATAATGTTTACATTCTTGAGTTGTTGTTAAGTGCTGTCGAGTTGGTTCCGACCCATAACGAGCTTGTATAGGGTTTCCAGGGAGCAGCTGGGGAGCTTGAACCGCCAACCTTGCGGTCCAAACCGACTTTGCCGTCCAGCATATTAACCCACAGCGCTGCACCAGTAGGCTTTACTAAAAATGGAAAGTTTTTCAGAGTTCAGGCGCTGGAAGGAGGTATGATTCCATCTCTTTCTGCTGCACACTTTGCGTCCTTGCACAAGCTATTACAATTGGCTAAGCTGTAAATGTTAGAAATGTTGATGCCTAATAAGGTTAATGTGTGCTGAGTGTATAGCAAGTGTTCAGTTGAGGTTAGTTATAGTTACTGTTACTAGTTCATACAGCAACGACTAAGCATATCCCGTCTCTCTCTACTTTCTCCTGTGCTCTAGTAGTACCGCGAACAGGAAGCCATTCGTCTTTGCCTGAAACACTTCCGCCAGCACAACTATACTGAAGCCTTTGAATCACTACAGAAGAAAACCAAGATTGCCCTGGAGCATCCCATGTTAACAGATCTGCATGACAAGCTGGTCTTGAAGGGCGATTTTGATGCTTGTGAAGACTTGATTGAAAAAGCTGTGAATGGTATGTTATCAACATGTAAACTTAGGGTGGTTTATTGGAGTGATTTCCAGCATGAGGAGGCTTCAGAAAGTTAGTGAAAATTTTCTGTTATCTTTTAATTCAATTTTTCCACAAAGTTTCTGAAGCCCTCCATGTATATACAGGACATGATCTTTTAAAAGGAATCTAGGCTTATTCCAGTTAGTATATATTTGTGTTATTTCGTTTTTACTCTGTAAAAGTTCTTAGTTATTTGGGGTAAGGACTTCTTTTATGTAAGCTGGTCCATGATATAATGAGACATATAAAGCATGAACGATGGTACTTGGACAACCCTGCTTCACTTACTGATGCTAACTAAGATGCACTAGAACTACACAGTCCTAAACCTAGTTTTTGATGTCAATGTCATGACCAGTGATATAGACATATCCCTTTAAGTATTCTTGTTACAGATCTTTATTATATAATGATATATGTTTTTGACGCTTGGATAGCCAAAAAGTGTTATTAGTAGGCAATTTAATGAATTCACAGATTTATGATTAGAAACAGCTTCTGTATAGTATGAATGCTACATAATTGCTGACTTGCTCTGTAATCTGGTTTGGGAAGAAATCTAAGTATTAAACACGTATCTAATCTTCCAAGGTCACTGCTTTGGAGGATGACACCTATCTGGATATTTAAGGTCTAGTATGTTTTGTTTTTTCTTTGAAAACAGAATACGGTTGTTGCTTATATAATGGCGTCCTATTTTTTTCTTGTAATTCCTACAATAGCTTTAATAGTGACAATACAGTAGAACCTAAATATAAAATGTGAATTTTGTCTTTTTATAGAAGGAATGTAGATTATTCTTACTATATTGTTTTTGTGTGCCTTTGAGTTGGTTCCAAACAGCAACCCTGTATAAGGTTGCTAAGAGCATCTAGTGGGTTTGAACTGTCAACCTTGAGATTAGCAGCCCAGTGCTTATCCTACAGTGCCACACCAGGGTCCCGTATTAGTTAGGTTAGTAGTAATATTGTTGAAAGAATAAGACTCTTAGTGCAATGCTCTGCTTTTATATAGTTTCATCTTATCAAGCACTATTATTAAGAATGGGAGCATAATGTCTCCATATGGTAAGCACTAGACTTCAAACCATAAGCTCCACAGTTCAACCTCAGCAGCCTCTCCACAGGAGAAAAATGAGGCTCTGCTTCCACGAAGATTCAAAGCCTCAGAAACCTTGTACCAGGGTCACTGTGAGTTGGAACTGACTTGACGGCACTTAACAACATTATTAAAAATGTGGAAATTATCGAAAAATATCATCAATATCACATGCAAGTAAAATTTTGCTGAAGATAATTTAAACATGGTTGAAGCAATGCATGGACAAGCAACTGCCAGAAATTCAAACTGGCTGCAGAAAAGGATGTGTAAGGAGGGATATCTGATAGATTTTGGCTGAAAGCAGAAAATGCCAGAAAGATGCTTACCTGTGTTTTATTGACTATGCAAAGGCATTCAGTTGTGTGGTTTATGACAAGTTATGGATAACATTGTGCAAAGCATGGGAATTCCAGAACACTTAAATGTGGTCATGAGGAACCTGTACATAGATCAAGAGGCAGATGTTAGGACAGAACAAGGGGCTACTGTGTGGTTTAAAATCAGGAAAGGAGTCTGTCAGGGATGTATCCTTTCACCATTTTTTGTCTGTCTGTTGAGCAAATAATCAGAACCTGGACTATACGTGCAAAACTATGAAACACCAAACTATCCCTCCCACAATACTCTGCTTCTCTATTGGGTTTGATAATTCATTGCAGTGACCACACAAAACTCAAAGGCAGTGCTGACAGTTATGTGGTTTAGTCGAAGCTAACATGTTATAATTCAGGGTCACAAATGGCTCAGGGCATAGTTGTTCCAGTCAGCTGTTGGTAAATGCCAGTAGGACATACCACTCTACCATAAGCTTCAGCCTGAAGGCACTTGGCTCTAACTTTGTGGGTCAGCAATCCAGTTTCCCTGATTAAATGCTTGGAGGCACCCCACTCTAAAGGCAAGCTTCCTGCCCAGAGTCACTTGGCTTTCCTTTCTCCGTGGACTGGGAAGTGCACTGCTCTGTCTCATTTTCTGGCTGTTGGTACTGCTACTGCTCCTCTCCTGCTCTTCCGGTGTCACAACTTTACTGTCTCTGGGTCGAGGAGGTTCAGTGCACAGGGATCTTGGGGTCCAAAAGATGCACTTCACTTCTGGCTCCTCCTGTTTGATGGACTCAGGTGTGGCAGCAGTAGTGAGGTTGGCCCAGGATCGGACATTGTTTCATTCTGCTGTGCATGGGGTCGCTATGAGTCGGTTCCGACTCGATGGCACCTGACAACAACAACAGCAACAACATGGGTTGGATCCTTAACAACTACCTGCTGCAACAGACCTCTTTTAAGTGTTCAAAGCAAAGATGTCACTTTGAGGACTGAGGTATACTACATGAGTCATGGTATGTTCAGTTGTCTTATATGCATGTAAAAGCTGGACAGTGAGGAAGGAAGATCAAAGAAGAATTGATGCCTTTATATGATGGTGTTGTTGAAGAATATCGAATCTGCCATGGACTGCAAGAAGAACAAATACATCTACCTTAGAAGATTTGTTCCATCTAGGGACTCCTGATGTGGCACTGTAGGATCAGCACTGGACTGCAAACCACAAGGTTGATAGTTCAAACCTGCCACCTGTTCCTTGGAGACCCTATACAGGGTTGCTATAAGTAGGAACCGACTTGATGACCCTTAACAACAACAGCGTTCTTCAGAAGCAGGGGTGGTAAGACTTGGTCTCACATACTATGGACATGTTACCAGGAGGGCCCAATCTCTGATAAATGCATCATGCTTGTTAAAGTAGAGGGTCAGTGAAAAGAGGGAAGACCCGCAATGAGATAGACACAGTGACTGCAGCGATGCAGTGGGCTCAAACATAGGAAGTCTTCATTCTGTTGGACACGGGATCGCTATGAGAGGGGCACCCAACAGCACCTCATACGTATTAGGGATTGGGCTGGATAGTCTACAAGTAAGGAAAACAGACAGTACTGCCTTCTTTGAGTTTATAAATTTAACACTAATTTTAAAATGAATTGCATGTCTTCTGCATTAAATGTACCAACAGATCTCTTCCGTGACAGTGGTGCTGCTGGTGTAGTTGATGCTGCTGCTTGCAGTTAAATGATTGATGTGTTTGAAAAAGAGTACACTTTGGAGTATAAAGAAATAAAACAAATATGTATGTCTGTATGCCTGCCATTTGTAAGAGTAAATTCTATATATTTTTAGAGAGCAACAGATTTTATGTTTTGTTTTGTTTCAAATCTTTATGGTATTTGAAATAATTTTGTTAGGGAAAAGGGCAAGTTAAAACAAGCTATATTTTTTTAGAGTAAAAACAGTCATGTTTTAAAACTTGTCCCTTTAGTAGAATATTCTGTTAGGAAAATCTTTTAAAATCATGTACAATTCTGTCTACATCAGTCAACTAATATCCTCTGGCTCTAGAGGGGAATTAAGTTTAGGGAAAATTGGTAGTAATTCTTCTATTCCTGAAATGTATAGGCAAGTCCTGTTTTGTTTTGCTTTTTGGTACTGGTTTGGGCTCTCCACAACTGGCTTGAACACTGCTTAGTTAATAGACATTCCTTCCAGAGTTGACTGCTGACTTCACTGATGATGAGTTGTTGGACATATAAGGAAGTAAACAGTACAGAGTCTTTTGGCTTCTCTGCTCCACTAAAAACATAGCAGAGAGGGGCAAGTTGTTCCTGCCTACGAAGCAGGAAAGTTTAGGGAATCAAAAACATTCTACCAAGATTTCTAAAGGAGAAAACAAAACCTACTGTTAGTCTATTTAGTATAGGGAGCTAGCATCATCTTTAAGTATGATCTGTATTTTAAGAGAGCATCAGACTATATTTATTTTGTAATGGACTTCCTGTTTGCCTAGAAATAGCTCTGCATTTACATCAGCGGAGGTGATTCCGGAACCAGTAATTGCTATGCTTTCACTGACACTGCCAGGGATACAAGGTAGAATCCCAGGATGGAGGGTGACAAAAATCACCTAAGAATAGGAAACTCTTACTCAAAGAGGTAAATGTTTGTACTGAAAACCTCGCATTACAGAATTGATCTGAACTTGCTATCAAAATGAAGATATGCTTTTGTGATACAAAGGTTCAGCTTGAGAACTCTCCTCTCTCTTTTTCCCTTGTCTTATTCCTTCCCTTTCTTTCTTTCTTTTTTATTTTGTCTTTTTCCTTCTTGTTTCCCCACCACCACCATCTTATAAGAAACCCTGGTGGCACAGTGAGTTAAGTGTTGTGCTGCTAACCACAAGGTCAGTGCTTCAAACCCACCAACCTCTCCAAGAGAGAAAGATGAGGCTGTTTTCACATGACCTGTAGGGTCAATATGAGTTGGACTGGATATGATAATGTCAGTAAATGGCTCTCACCATTATGACTTAGGCAGTATTGTTAATTATGTGGTAGGTTCTCACCTTAGGATTTTTTTCTTTCTTGAGTAGTTTTTAAATCTTGTTGAGATTTTGATTCAGAATGCCCTTTGTCTTAACTATTATGAAGAATTGATATTGAAATTTATAAAATACCTTGTGTAGATCATGAGCTCAAAAGGAATGCATATAATATTTTATTGTTAAATGTGATGTTTTTATGTAGTGCTTTTGGAGATGCCTGTATCTGATTCTGACATATCATAAATGATATTAAATTTTATTTCCTTTCCTCCACATTTTTGAGATAAAATTTTTTCATACTTTAATCTGTTAGTGTATGGAGTCACAGTAATTGATACTTTAGTGTTAAATCAACTTTGTATTTCTCAGATATACTTTGTGCAGTGAATTATTTCATTTCTCTTCTAGCCATAGTCTGTAAACAAAGCCTTTTTCCTGTTGTTCAGGCTAAGCGAAGGTGGGGGAAAGATGCTAATGGATTGATTATATGATTC